AAGAGAGAGAGAGAGAGAGAGAGAGAGAGAGAGAGAGAGAGAGAGCATGTTATTCCAGTCCTTTTTGTATTTTGGAAAAAAAAATAACTTTTACAATAAAACAAATACAAAAAGTCAAAGAATTCATTTTTTTTCTATAGAACTCCATGTGTGTGTACACACGTTGTTTATTGCTCTTTAACATCTTCACTGCTTTGTTGACGTACACAGTACATACTTGCTTGTCTTCTCCCAAACTGTTCTCTGCCACTTTTCCTGCGGTTGATTTACATGAGACGTTTTAGCAAACACTGCAATGGCGATTTGTGCTGTTGTTGATTCTTAAATAAGGGATGAAACTCTCTCCAAAAGTAACATTTTATTCGTATGTGCAAAGTTGGTCGATACATCTCAGCAATTAAGGGGTTGAAATGCGCTCTCGTTTTTAAACATAAAACTCTTTCAAAATAGATTTAAGTGATTGAGATGTTCCAACGTAATAGGTTTGTCTTAGAATGATCTGAAGCTGCCTTCCACGACGTACAGAAATCTTCAAAACCACACACAAACTTATCTTATCACTGCACTTGTTGTTGTTTTTTAAATTATCACCCTGCTGTTTTGCAATATCATTTTTAATAAATAACCAAATAAGTGTTTACGCCAAACAGAGAGTTTTTTTGGGAGCGAATTTCTAAGCATGAACGTAGGATAAACATTTCTTTTGTACAATATACCGCCCGCCCGTTAATGATCTTTACAATCTACATGTATGATCCTAGTCCTGAATGTAGGGGATTAGTGCAATTGATGCCTCGCCCTGGAGCAAAATTATAAATAGGAACTAAACAAATTCATTTTGTTTGTTTTCAATTCCTACAATGCGTAGACATTATTTCCAATCGTTTAGATATCCTGGTATATAGCGATTTTTAAGAACACAAATAAGACGTTCAGATGAAAGGCATAATGTGTTTTCATTCAGACCATTTTCATTCATAATAAAGTACAAAATCGACCGCCAGCACCCCAATCCCTTTTCTACTCACTCTCTCTCTCTCTCTCTCTCTCTCTCTCTCTCACGCGCGGTCTTTCTCTTTATCAGCCACAAATTAACTCTATGCAAAATCATCATCGCCATTTGGGACCCGAACACGCATCCTTTCGGTTTATGATAATGCCTCCCAGAAGTGTGATTGTCACATTTATCAAGGGAAATTTTAGCTATAAAATGTAAAAAGCCTTGACACTTGCATTTCCAATATTCGTTTAAACGTGAACATACAGTTCTTTAACATTAAGAAAAAAACTTTCACAGGAGAGAAAAGTAACAAGCAGAGAGATGAAATCTGGACAGAAATAACGCTGGTGTAAAACAAAAAAGTTTGAGCCAGTCGATCACAAAGGTCTAAAATATTAACGTACATGTGCTCAGTTTGGATTATAAAAAGAGATAAACAACAAAACAAAACAAAAGCCACCGACAGTTCTCCAACATGCTGTCAAACACCAGGGGCGTCAAACATTTTATTTACATATTAGCTGTAATTAGCATAAAAGCAGCGTTCGTTCTAACACTGCTCAGTTCTTGTAGCTGCTTCTGGGCCGTGGGTGTTCATCAAGATAGACATGCTCAAGGCTGTGCCATATCTATTTAAAAAGCGAGATAATATCTGCGTTCTGAAGGCATATCGACCCGGTTAACAGCCGTCTGCATTAAATATTCTGTCGACTCACACACCCACTCCCAGACAAGGGACAACGACTAAAGGCGACGACGCTGACAACAAACAAATATATATATATATACATATATATAAATATATATATATATATATATATATATATATATATATATATATATATTATACTATATTTATTATATAATTGTTCCACCTTAAGGTTAACGTTTTGAATTGAAATACATGTAGATGTACTGCTGTTTACATGAATGAATAAATACCAACATCACCTCTCATAAACCAAACTCTCTCACCAACCACATCCACCACCCAACCCCCCTCCCAACAACAACACCAAAACATCCCTCCCCTTTTTTCCCAACAAAGCCTGTTATTTTCTGCTGTCGTCAGCTCATTCCGTTCAAGCTTGATTTATTTTCTCAGATCTACAATCACTTTCGAAATGGCAGACAAAGTTGATTCTGAAAGACAAAATTACGAGCATGGAATGTCAATGATAACAGTATAATATTACAAATATGTCAACTAATGTACGCTTATTTTATCATCAGTGTCAGTTGTATACATTGTTTCTTGCCAATCTTGCTCTTTGCCAATCTTGTTCTTTTTAAATGTTATTGTTTGTCAATACTGTTACTTTCAACAATGTTCTTTGTCAACGATGTTAACATCTTTTTGTTTTGAAATGATGCCCTCAAGCAGGACGATCTCGATAATTTTCTCACTAACTTTGTTTTCTGTTTGATCTCCGTACAGGTAAACCGGCCGTTGACGATGAAGAAGGATGGTATTCAGACCAGGAACCGAAAGATGTCAACGAAGAGCAAGAAAGGCAAGAAAGGGATGGTGGCCATGTCAGACTTCCTTAGGGACAGCAAACCCTTCACCGGCTTCGGCGCTCCTTCCTTCAGCCCCGGTATGCACTCGATGAACCCGTACATGACCTCGATGGGAGGTCAAGGTCTCGGGGGTGGCTACCACCACTCCCAGATGGGTGCCAGTCTCGGCGGGAGTCTGGCCGGAGGTCTCGGCGGTGGCTTTTCCAACAACTTCCCCTCCTCCCTGCAGTCCCCGTCCTTCGCGCCGTCGCTGCAGTCCCCCTCGTTCCCGTCCTCCCTGCAGTCACCCTCGTTTGCCTCCTCGTACGGTGTACCTTCCAGCGGGCTGAATCTGTCCACGAGCAACATGGTAGGCGCTATGGCGTGACAATGAATGCCAAGCGCTACCCGATGAAAAGACAACATCTCTCGTCGTTTTTGGGTAGCGTTTACGCCAATCCAGGCTGCTTTATGTACTGCCAGAAAAAAAGCTTTGAAAGTCCACATTAAAGAGGGCCCAGGCTGGTTTAGATTGTCCACACTGGACGCAATATCTGCTGACGTCATAATGGAACGTCCAGCGTTTCCCAACTTCGGGTTTAACGCTGTATGGCTCGTGTCATGTACACTGGACAAGACAGATGGCCTAAGTTCCACATGGACTGGTGCTAAAGACACAGTATGAGACATCAAGCGTGATCCGGAGCAACGGATCCGTCGTTGTCGATGTTTGGCATAAATAGATACTGGTTTTACACCGTTTAAAGTCTCCATGTATTGCTGACACAGCAGCAGACTTACACAGTCGTCTAGTGCGACCTGGTGTCACCAACTTCGGGGACTTAAACTTATGTTCTCACTCCTACAGTTGTGAACCGGAGATTACATATCTTATAAACGTCGCCATAAGTGCTCGGGTTGACAGTTATGACAACTGTCAATGAATACACTCCCACAATTCGCTGATGAAACTAATTGTGTACAGCCAACGTTCAAAGCATCGTTTAGTCTCTTCATGAAGTCACAGGCAGATGAATTTCACACAAACACTGGCACCAAGTACGCATATCTCGTTGTTGAGTTTTGAATTCTTCAGAAACACGCTGCGGATTTAAAAGTCTACCGATGCACGTTATGGTGGCTCCAATCCATTTGTCCGGTTATGTCATTAGCAATGAAAAAAACATTGGCACTTTGAATTTGCGCAGACCTATCAGACTATGCCAGCGTGGAGGCTGACCGATGTCGACAACAGTGAGTCTGAGTAGCAGTGAGCAGAAAATGTGCAAAGATAATCTGAACTTTTATTTTCCTCACAATGACTCATCTGTCTCAGGATATCTCCAGGCACCACCACCACCACCACCAATAACAACAACAACAATAATAAAACAACAAAAACAGCAACAACAACAACTACAACAACTGTAACTACTACACTAACTACAACAAATATAACAGCAACAACAGAAACAAGAACAACAACAAAGAAGAAGTGCCCATCTGCCTAGAGGATTCTTATCTACGCAGCAGATCCTAACAAGGACCAAGCGTACACTTTGTAATGTCTCAACAAAACCATGACAAGTACTCAAGTGTAAAGGAATTATGTGAATCTCAAATATCTATAAAACAAAATACCATGAAAGATGATGTTCATTGTAATGTATAATGAAGCGTCTGTGTGAACGTAACATTGGCATCTGACCCGATCCGATGGAAGAAGCATATCAAAGTCACAGACTCAAACATAGTCAATGAGAACTTTGGAAGCTGTACGTTTGCGCAGTGAAAGATTGTATGTACATAACATAATGGGTTCAGTTCAAGATAAATTCCTGTATTTCAACTTTCTGTGTTGCCTTGCAGGCAAAATAAGGAAGTGATAATTAAAAAACTATTTAATATTGATGAAACAAAGAAGTTTTGTATGCTGTAATGCCGATTCTGTTGGACTGGACTGAGGTGTGAGTACCGTTTACAGTTTTGGCATCTCTTGCCTGTGTAAAGGACACGGGAACTTGCTGATAGTCAGTCCTTTCGATTTCTTAGATGAAATATTATACCAATGATGCGCTTTGTTGTTTTAATTCTTTTGCTGTTTTGTCGTGTTTAATGACGCTGCCTATTTCAAGATAATATTATTGCAATTATTTTAATCTGGATATTTTGTTACCTTGCCTATTGTATCAGTCTTTGGTCATATTTATGAAAAAACAAAAAACAAGTAAAGAAAAGGTGTATCAATATTCACACTATGTACATTTCTGGACATTGACTCCGTGAACATAATTATCCTACATATTGATTATAAAAACAATCTGATGTAATGTCTGTTTATCTTGACTCTAATTCTAAATGAATTAGCTCGACGTATTTCATGATTATTCCGTCTTGCACACACATACTATTGTGGCATATCGCTGTGACTATTGCTTGAACAGTCACGGCGAACATTTATCTGCACGATCGTTTCTTCGATCTACTCTGTGTCGTAAGATGCTACGATTTCTGTAGATGATTATTAAGCTTGATCAGAAAGTAGTAGTGGGTTGTTGGCTTTGTGGTTACTTCACTAAGAGAAATACATTTTCATTGGCGAATAACCAAAAACCATGTCATTAAGAATTGCATAGTTGCGAAAGTATAATATGATACGCATAGCCAGGGGGCATTAACGAAATGATGAAGATTCATTCTGTTGATATAAACATTTCTAAGTTATCGATACCTTTGAAGTACATGTTATTGGATAAATGAAAGACTTCATGTTGATTTTAGAAGTAGCCAAGATGTTATTTAATCTAGTTCAGAAAAAAAAGAACAAATTTTCGAAAATGTCATGTGCGTCTCTTGTAATTTAAGTATCTCTTATTGGATAGCTTCTGCTAAATCCACTTTCAAATTAGATTCAAATCAATACTTTTGTGTGTCTTTCCAAATTTTTCTACATTCATCAATAGTTTAACACGAAGGAATGATGGAAGAACTCCCACCTGAATCTTTTCTCACACTTGTTTTATCTTCAAACTTTCCCCCCAAAAACGTAGCATGCTTTTTCTCACCTTTGCTAGGTAATGATCGAGGTGTTATATTTATTGTACAATCCTGTAGAAACTTTTTAAAAATTGTATTCGACTAAAAACATCGTTCATGAGAGGGTACTTTATCAGTTGCACTGAAAATTGTTTCATATCTATGCCTTTTTCAATAAAGTATTTTGCAATAGGTTTAAGATTTTAATAATGTATGTTAAATGTATTTCAGATATAATGCATATTACACTATTCATTTATTGATTCTAAGCTGATGTAAAATAGAGGGAACCTAAAATTTTGTGACGTTTTGTATAGACACAAAATTAATTCGAGCATCCAAACTTTTGGGGTGTGCGTGTTTGCATAATCACGATGGACGAAGGGCGGCGTTCCTTTTCTATCATTTCTTCGGTTTTTATATCACTGCAATTATTTTTTTTCTGCGACTGATCACGGAAATAACTAAATGTCTCGGATCCTGTTGGTATAAATTTCACAAGCAGCTTCAGTCAAGTTTCATACTTTCTATGGTACTTTATGAGGGAACACTTCTGTTCTCGAATATTTACATGTGTATCTTGATTCCCAATGTTTTCCTTTTTTTTACAGTCTCATTTCACGCTCAAAATATGGAAAGTTTACTAAATTAAAGGACATAGGAGTTTTCATTTCAGTTGTTGGAAACACACCTGCGCTTATTATCTGTTTATTTATGTTTACTCATTCACTTATTTAACTACCTAGCTTTTCATACAAGAACTGGGTGTAAAAAATCTTTTCTTAAGAAGAAATTATTATAGAACGTATCTTTTAATGCAAACTGTTCATTTTTAGGGTTTTTTGTTATCTCCTCAGCAAGATTAATTTTCAAACATTATTGTTGCCAAGGGACATTTTCTAAAATAAAGGAGATGGATACGTTGCACCTTGATTAGAAGAGATACATTGTATTATGATTATGATTATGATTATTATTACTATCATTATTATTATTATTATTATTATTATTATTTTTATTATTATTATTATTAATTATGATTGGTGGTGTTAACAGAAAATCCAGCATACAGTAAGAAAAACAATTAATAAATAAAAATAGAAGGGATTATAAACATTGGACAGATTTTTTCTGTTAAATATGGACGTTTTTTCTTGAGGTTTTGTCGGTTCCCGTGGTTTATAGTGGTCGTGTCTTTATTTTTTGTTTGGTTAAAACTTCACAAAAAAGGGCCCCCGACCCACTCCTTTTACTTAGTTATACATTGTAATAAGTATTGACGTTTCTTTATTGCATTGGTTTCATTTACTTGAATAAAGTTATTAAAAAAGATGAACCTTCTTTTCTTACATTTTTCATGAGCGTCATTGGTTGGCCTGTTTCTGTACTTGAGGAGGGGCGTTAAGGTGAGAATGTGATAGAAGCAAGAGTGAATTGCGAAAAACTATGATGATGATGATGATGATGATGATGATGATGATGATGATAATGATGATGATGATGATGATGATGATGATGATGGTGATGATGATGATGGTGATGATGATGATGATGATGATGATGATGATGATGATGATGATGATGATGATGATAAAAGGAAAGAGAAGAAGAGGGGGAAAAGAAGTAGAAAAAGCTGGAAGAAGATATTTAGGGACTGAGAATGACGAGGAAAACTGTCAATAAAGACACCTATAGTTTATTATGACTCCATTTACTCAAGAAAAGCTCTTTACTTTTGTTTCAAGTCACGCTTTTCTCGTGCCGAATTAGTAGATTTGCATTATTTTCGTGATGTAATAATAATACATCCATGAAGTATGATCGTTTTACTTTATAGAGGGGGGAGAGGAGGAGGTGTGAATATTTACGTGGTAGATATGGTTTGCATTGTAATTTATAACGTGTAATTTCCAAAGTTGTTAGGAGCAGGTGAAATATGCCCTCCTAGAAAAGTGCAACGCTCTTAAAGTTTCTAATAATAAATACCCCAGCGTTTAAGGACCCGGAAAAAAACAAACAAACTATACTGCCCCCCCCCCAAAAAAAGAAGAAAACATTAACTTCTATAAGCAGAACTGAACCCTACTGTTTGTTAGCATTTTTGTATGTAAAGATCTTCTTCGAGCCCTCATTTTTTAAATAAGTTAAAAACTGATGTTGCTTTTGTGCATGACTTCACCTCTTCTCCACATGTTAGCCCCCAACAGAGAGCGACGGAGACAGAAAAAGCAAATTCCGAGTAAAAGGCTCAAATATACACTTTTACCAGAAAAAGTACTTAGAAAAAAATAGAGAAGTTCCCATTTATCAAAAAGAACCTTTTTTTTGCTGGCTCTTTTGTCTATTATTAGATTTTATGTTTGTCGTAAAACAATATGAGCGTAAAGTAATACGATCTTCTCATTGTGGGAACACAGACGGCGTTCAGAACACTTAGCAAGTTATGGAACCTGTTCTTGCCGTTCGATTTTTACAAGATCCGTCTTGAATGAATCGTCTTTTCAGAATGCTAGAGGCAGAAGTTGGTGACATTTTAAGCAGAGTGCACACTAAAACATGCTCAGATTTTTACAAAGTTTAGATGATGAAAATATACATTCTAAACAGATATTTCGGAATGGAAACCATTTCATATATTATTTATATCATATATGTAGATATAAACGTATTTGTTTCTTTTTGTAAGGTTTGGGAAAAATAAGAAGAACAACAATAATAATAATGATAACAAAAATAATAATAATAATAATAATAAT